AAAAAGAAGAAAAAAAAAGAAAAAACACAAACATATGATATGAAGAAACTTGAAGTAAGCAAGAATTCCCTCTTACTGAAGCAACTTCTGATCAAAGTGCCAAACACCTGTCATCCACAAGCATAAGAATTAGTTGAAGGGAAAAGCATATGTTGCATGGCAATGGTGTTACGGATCATTTCTTGGAAGATATAGAATTAAAAAGAAAAAAAAAAAAAAAAAATCAGATAAAAAAAAATGCCAATATAAGCTAAATGGGCTATGTATTTTACTGTTTTTATACCATGTCCTTTGCCAACTCTTCTCAGCTGCGCAACATATTCCGATATTTTCTTGATAGACTCCACCTGGAAGAATGGATTATGTCAGTGTTGCAAATTAAATCACTTCTCAAATTACAGCGCCACGTGGCACTGTAGAATCCAAGGGAACATTTCTTTTTTTGGCAGGGGTAGGTTTGGGGGTGGTGGTGGCAGAATTCAAACCAAACCTGCTCAACCAAAAACTCGCTCTCAATAAAATCAGTCAACTGTACATCATTGTTCCTGGAGGCAACCTGTTATCAGCATGCCGAAGATCATATCAGCCGTATGCAGGTTTATAAGAAATAATAATAAAAAAAAAAATCAAACATATCAACTCACGGCGTGCAGATTTAGAAGCTTCTCATTTGTCAATTTTTCCAAAGATAGTGTGAGCTCCATAGCTATATGGTAACAAGAAAAACAAGTTAGCCTTCAACAAAAACCCTACTTGCAGAAATTGTGATTTGAAGAGTGTTGGTAATTAAGATTGAAGTGCTTCTCAGTGGACGGAGTTGAGAAGTACCAAGTACCAACTCCCTTGTAGGAAAGAGGGACAAGGTAATGCATAATGGAGCCATAAAATGAAATCTCTAACTAGCAAAGCAAATAGAGGATGAAGAAATGTTGGTTTCAAATATATATATCAGTCATACTCCATGAAATTATCTGTATATTAGGCTTAATGTTTGTACAACTAGGCTACCATAAATAGGGAAGGAACAATCTACCATATAGAGCATCTCCTTTTTCAGCATGATCAAACTCCGAAAGAGGCATCAAGATAGACTGCAGCTTCACCTTCCCTCCTCGTTTGTTCTAATTTTGTAAGCACATAATTTGATTAACACTTCAAATTAATCAAGATTGTGAAGCTATACAAGAATAATATTTTGCGCATTGTAGAAGACCTGATATTCCATTAGTTTTTCAGCATGTTCTCTTTCTTCTATGCTTGATTCCTTGAAAAACCTACATAAAAAACAAATGACAACCAATTTTCGTTCATGTCATAAATGGAAAAACGATTCTATGAAATTTAGCAAGGTTTAGATATCTACTTAGCGAGCCCCTTGAGTGCAACATTGTCTCTGTCGAAGTAGGCAAACATAGCATGGTACACATATGAAACATTGTACTCCACACTGTAACCACAACATGCATTCCAAGATCAATAAATTAGATAAAACAAAAATAAAAAGAAGTTTCCATTAAAATGAGGAGAAATATAATCCATAACTAATTCTTAATTAGAAGATGATGAAATCGCTGATAAGGGGGGTGACTAATCAACACCCACACCACCACTAAACTTGATATTTGAGATGATTACTGATTGGTTGAAAACATTCCCATTAACATAATCCACTTTAGAGCATCCGCGACAGATCATTACTAATGTCTTTAATATTTTCATAATTAATTTTCAGCCTTCTCTTTTCTAACATTAAAAATAGCTTCAACTTTTCTCTGCACAATATATGATAATATACCACGTAACAGTGAGGAATATAAATTAAATCCATCTTGTTAAGCATTCACAAAACCTTTTATCTTAAGTTTTTAGCGGATAGAACTTAATGTTCGGGGCTATTGCTGGAAACCTTGGCTGTTTTGATTCGTCAACCTTTAGCAAAGCAAATAAGAGGCAGTCTTTCGATTTAAGACGAGTCTGCCAAGGCAGGAAACAATACGCTACCTTTCTTAAAATCAAATGACAACATGTGGCAACCACAAAAAAGAGCTTACAGTCCTTATGAAACTAACGCGCAACCGTAGAAGGAGGGAACAACTCATGGATCAATATGTAGTATAGTATGTGGATCATATCAAGCAGGGTATAAAATGCACATTTTCGTTGAAAAAAAAAAAATGCCTGGGTCTTTCTCCTCTCAAGCCAAAGCATATCGCTACTGCAAAAAAATGTTTCAGCAGCTGCACATCATCAAGCTTATGGAAGCCAGTTTACCAAGACATCTTGGGATAGAGAATGAATCACAATGTTCATTGCCTATATAGTGAGTGTGACGCGGTTTTCATTCAAGACAGGAGTCTTTCCTTTTTTAGCAGTAGCCACGTAGAGCCTTCAACCTCATTAGGATTTACGCTAGTAGTCAGGTGGATAGGTATCAATCACTTGTGTGTTTTAGTGAAGTTCACTAGCTACAACATTTTAGCTTCTTTCCCTTTTTTTTCTTTTTTCGAGTAATTCTTTTCGGTAATTACTCTAAACAAGATTTCTGTCAGTCAGACAACTTTCAAGAAACAATATTTTTATTTACTTCTTTTCTGAGTACGAACATAGAAGATGGATGAGAATCCAGGACTTGATCACTCGGCTTACTCTGAATTCTCAGTAAAAACCATTTTCCTCCAGATATTCAAGTTTCCAACATCATAAAATAAAAAGAAAATAATAATAACAGAAATAAGAAGCGATGTAAAGGAAAAAACCAACTTGATCTGTTCATTGATAGCAGCTTCAGAGTCGACAGAGTACTTTTGTCGAGCGAGCGAATCCTGTGGGACGGTGGGCACCAGCATCAGCTCCTTCTTCACTTCCTCAAACGGCTCGAAGACGACGCCGGTCAATGGTTTGTTGTTCGCGTGTTTAGCCACACACGAAATGCAACCCCGAAATTTGTTCCGCGAGATGTGAGAAGACGAGGCGGATGAAAGCAGAGCGCTTAGATTCTCTCCATTGGTGTTCAACAGACTAAACGCAGGTGCCGATTTGACAAGCATTATTGTTGTTGCTGTGGAGTGGAGCAGGAGGAAATTGAGAGAGAGAGAGAGAGAGAAGAGGATGCGTCACTGAGTGCTCTACATCATTCTACGCTGTAATTTATATGGATTTGTGTGCATCCCTACAAGTGTGTGGACCGTTGGATAGAGAACACGTGGGGATGGAGATTTTGACTTGAAACGTTCGCGTGGCGACCACATGGAGGTCGAATACTTGTTGAATCTACATATATGTTTCATGTGTTTTTCTACATTCAGGTACCCTCGTACTTTGGTTTGTACTTACTTAATAATAGGTACCTTTTAAATGAATGTCATGTGTCATTTTTGTAATAAATTAAAAAATAAATCTAAAAAAAGTTTAATGCAAATACGAAAATGTCCTTACTTAAAAAAAAAAACTTAATTTACATCAAAAGTCCTTGAACTTTTGTAATATTAACACATGACCTAAACATAATTATATATCTCAAATAAACAAACAATAAATCTAATATTTCATTTCGAACGATCTTCTGCAAACAAGAAAACACTCGCGAATATATGCTCGGAAAAAGACGTTCTAAGATTTGTCATTTCAAGAATAACACGAAGGTACATAATTATGTTTTCTGATTCGATATTTGAAGAACAACATTATGTGAATTTGTTTTCAATTTCTTGTTCTTCATTTCTATTACTGTCCAATCATGCGGTAATGTGCATCCATGATTTTGCTGTGCATCCGTGAGTTATAAGACATAGATACGATGAATGTTGTAATGTGAAATTGTATTGGCTAATGTGGATAATTCATTATTATTGTTTTTTTCTCACAAAGAAGCACAATAGATGTTTGACGAAATGTCTGAAGGGACTATGAAGACGCAAAACAGATAAGCACCAAAATACAACTTGCCAAAAATTACAACCGAACAAGTTGTTGTTATTGTTGTTGTAGTCATAAACAATGTTTATGACATCAGTTTGACATTTTAGAATACCGTAATGAGCTTTAGTCATAAACAATCACAATTGCTCAAACTATGCTTTAAAACGCAACTTGATAGACATGTGCGGTTGTAGAGGTTGGTTGTTGCTATACATTTTCGCAATAGGTGTTGAGTGAAATTGCGGAAGATGAATACCGTGAAATTTCGGTTTATGATTAAGCTAAAGAAAACTCATATTGAACGTGCTCGCCTGGTAATTGCATGTTTTAATTTGTCTAATTTCATCATGGAATTGTTGTGGTAAATGGTCCTTAACAAAATTAATAATTTTGCATGTTGTACAATTCATTCTCATGGCGTCCTGGAATATGCACTTAAAAAATGAAAGGTTTTTAAAAAAGACAGCGTATCTTTTTACTGACCAGTGTTTTTACCGTTTGGATGTAACTGAAAGACATGGTAAAAATTTAATTGAACATGAGGATACTCGTCAATTCAGCGAATGTAATGGATTGATGGAAGGTTGTTCGTGTTCGTTTGTGCTGGTATGAGGGGATTAGCTGGTGTTTAGGATTATTGTGTAGTTGCTGTGACCGGTATAAGCTATTCTATTTTGTCTTTGTAAATTAATGAATTATGCTGTAAATTTATTTGGTGTGTGTTCTGGATAGGGATATGTTTATTATATGCCAAGGCAACTTTTGAATTATTTTTCATAATTCATTGATCATGTTAAAATTTAAGATTAACATGTCACATAATAAAATGAATTTTCTCTATAATAAGTTGAACATGTTGCATATATCAAGATGAACTTGTTGCATTATGTGATGAATATGTTGCATAATCCATTGAACATATTATAAAAATTAAGATAGACATGTTACATAATGAGATTAATATGTTATATAATAAGATCAATATGTTGCATAATATATTCAACATGTTAAAGATTAAGATGAACGTGTTACATTACATAATAAGATGAATATGTTCTATAATAAGGTGACTATGTTATATAATAAGATGAATATGTTGCATATACTAAGATGAACATGTTGCATTATGAGATGAACATGTTGTATTATGATATGAATATGTTGCATAATTCGTTGAACATGTTAAAAATTAAGATGAACAAGTTACACGATAAGATGAATATGTTGTATAATGAGATGAATATGTTGTATGATAAGATGAATTTTTTCTATAATAAGTTGAACATGTTGCATATACCAAGATGAACATGTTGCATTATGTGATGAATACGTTGCATAATCCATTGAACATGCTATAAAAATTAAGATGAACATGTTACATAATGAGATTTATATGTTATATAATAAGATCAATATGTTGCATAATATATTCAACATGTAAAAATTAAGATGAATATGTTACATTACATATAAGATGAATATGTTCTATAATAAGGTGAATATGTTATATAATAGATGAATATGTTGCATATACGAAGATGAACATGTTGCATTATGAAATGAATATGTTGCATAATTCGTTGAACATATTAAAAATTGAGATGAACAAGTTACACGATACGATGAATATGTTGTATAATGAGATGAATATGTTGTATGATAAGATGATTTTTTTTCTATAATGTATTGAAAATGTAAAAAAGTTTGATGAACATGTATAATAAGATCAATATGTTATATAATAAGATTAAAGTAATGGATTGATGGAAGGTTGTTCGTGTTAATTTATTTTGTTTGCATTGATGCAATGTTATCCAGAATTAGAAGTCAACATTTTGTAATGATATAGGTTAGTACATAATAGTGCTGTCAATCTGTCACGACGGGCTAAAAAAAAACTGATAACTGAAAGAAGAGTAAACTTATGAAACAAGGGCATAGTTGCAGTTTGACAAGGTTAAAGAAGAGTGGCAAAACATGATTTTTTGGGTGTACATAGGACAAATCAACTGTTACAATTTCGTATGAATGTCTTCAATGCCCTTGTCCTGACTGACATTTGGAATGGAAAATTCACTGTCGTTTCCAACTTCAGATTGTGATGGTTTGCTACTCATTTTTTTTAGATGACATGTGGTTGACTTATGGCCGAGGTCCCTGCAAGTAAAATATTACTTAAAATTCAGTTCTAAAAAATATATTTAAGCTACTAAAAAATTTGAGTGTATATTTAACAATGTACTTACCCGCATGATTTGCATCTTTGTTTTTTTGCTGGTGGTGCCCCTCTAGATCTAACCCGACGTGGGTCACCTTTATTATTTGAACCTCTCGCCGGATACTTAATATTACTTGATGCGTTTGCGAAATCATTAGGTGAGGGTCCTGAATTGGCTTCTTCATTTCTGTCAAGGTTATCAATTGCACGTCTGACTTTCTTCACACACTTTTATGTATCGATCTCGTTCTCAGATGCCTTGGAACACATATGGACTGACTCTTTATACAGTTTGTGAAATCTTTTGTTTTGTGGATCAACGGAAGCAGGCACATAGTGAAAACTTTGTCTAAGATATTTTCCCGCTAAGGTCATCAACCTATCAAGTATGCATTTGGTTGGCACCTTTCGAAGATGCAAGTACTTGAATGCAGTAAATAGATGACTACATAGAATGTCATCTGTTTCCAGCATCTTGCAAGCACACTTGAATATGCCTTCATTTATATTCACCTTGACCGACCATTCTCTTTTGGTTGTTGGATCATAATTTTCTATTTGGAAGACATATGACTCCCCATCATCAGTCCTCTTCTCAATCACAATATTATTTTGCTCACAATCAACTTCCCTTCGAACTTTCCCAAAAACCGAGCGTGTATAAAGTCCAGACAGCTGAACAAGAATCCCGTGAAGTGGTGTGACTTGCGGAATATCTTGTGGGTTCATCTCCGATTCTTCCTGCTTCTTGAAAAAAGTTGCCCTCAACGACCCCACAATATTATGGTAGTTTTTAAGGAGCTCCGTAATAGTGCTGCCCGATTTTCCCCCTACTTGAAGAGTGCATTCACGGATTCCGCTCTTTGGGTTGTTCTAGTCATCCCCATGAAATTCCCTCTAAGATATGCGTCACACCATTGATGTTTCCTTTTATATGTATCTTTCACCCACGTATTGTCTGCCACACCATGTATGTTTGTTTGTAATTCCCATTCAGATTTAAACTCACTGGGAGTCCAATTATTCATTATAAACTTCCCAAATATTTTGCAGAAATCGTGGGCCTTCACTCTCTGTTCACAATTTCTCTCAAGATGCCACGCACACAGCCTATGTTTAGCATCGGGGAACACCTTAATTATTGCAGAACACATAACATCGTCTTGATCCGTGACAACTGTGACAGGCATCTTCGATTTCATTGCCGCTAAAAATCTTGTTATCAACCACAGGTAGGATTCCGATGTCTCATTATGCAGCAAGGCCCCACCAAAAATTGTTGTATTTAGGTGGTTATCTATTCCAGAAAAAATGACCAACGGGAATTTGTATGTGTTTGTTTTGTAAGTGCTGTAAAAAATGAGAACGTCACCAAATTGCTCATATGCAGACTGTGAAAACCCATCTGACCAAAAAACTTTGGCCAATCCACCTTCATCGTCACAAGTTGTCTCCACCACCATCAGCGGGTCGTTGATCATTACACCTTGAAGCATAGCAAAAGTAGTCTTAAAATCACCATCACGCATCGTATCATTTCTTATCTTCGTCAGGAAGTTGTATGCTTCTTTTTTTTGTGATGTAAACTTCCAGGACCACCTGAAATTTCTTGAATATAATTGAACGCCTGACATATACAAATGCCGGAACCATTCATTAAGGTCAACAACGATTTTTCAGAGTCCGTAATTTGTCTACAATAGAATATATAAACAATATGTTAGACAAACGTTGAAAGATAAAACTATATGAAAAATATATTTTCCTATATGCAATATTCTCCTTCCTAAATCACATCGTCGTTCAGTGAAGATAAGATAAGAGCTCTACAAAAAAATGAACCCTTCAACTCACCCCCTCCCCAAACAAAAAAGTTGCAGATGAATCCATCGTTCATCGTCCAAATTGATT